TGCTGTTTTGATTACTATAGCTCAGTATTAGATTTTGAAATCAGAAAGTGTGATGCCTTCAGCTCTTTGTATTTGCTCATAACTGTTTTGCATATTTGAAATCTTTGGTGATTCCACATGAATTTTAGAATATTTTTTCTATTTGTGTGAGAAATAATTTTGAACTCTAAAAAATTTTTTGTTGGTTTATGTTATTTTTGTTGTTGTTGTTCTAGGATGTAAACCCAGGGCCTTATGCATGCTACCACTGAGCTGCTCCCCAGCTGATATTGAAAAGCAAGTCTATTGATCACTTTATTATGGACATTTTAACAATATTAATTCTAACTCATAAAAATGGGATATCCTTCTATTTATCTGTCTTCCTTAATTTTTATCAATGTTTTATTGTTTTTAGTGTACAGATTTTTTACTCTTAAATTTATTATTTTATTTTAAAATTATTATTTTTTGTACCAGGGATTGAACTTGGGACCTTGTGCTTTTGAGGCAGGTGGCAGCACCAATGAGCTAAATTCCTGGCCCATATATTTTTTTTAACTATTTTTTTGGGGGGGTACCAGAGATCAGACTCCGGTCCTTGAGCTTGCGAGGCAGGCAGCAGAAACACTGAGCTAAATCCCCAGCCCCATATTTTATTTTTTGACGCTATTAGAAATGGTATTGTTTTCTCTTTTCTAGGTTATTGTTCAGTTTTTGTTTTTTTGTTTTGTTTTGGTTTTTTTTTTTTTTTTTTCTTTTTTGTTTTTTAAAAAAAGGGTTCTCGGTCATATTCTTTAATCCATGTGTCTCTAGGAAACATCACACTTGATAAGTATTTCTAAATACATAATAAGGGTATGGCTTGTAGCATAATAACATAGGTATATAACTACAGATAGTCTATATCTGTATAGGCTATATAACTTTTTTTTTTTTTTTTTGACAAGGTTTCACTAGTCCAGGCTGGCCTCAAACTCACAGGCAGTCCTCCTGCCTCAGCCTCCCAAGTGCTGGGATTACAGGCATGTACCACCATGCCCAGCTCTATTGTTACTTATATGTTGATTTTTTATCTTGAAACTTTACTGAATTTTCAGTTCAAATGTCCTTTGGTGGAGTTAAAGTTTTCTATATATAAGATACGTTGGGGGCCTGAGTTTGATCCCTGGAACACCCCCAAAATGATCATGTTGTCAAATAATTTAACTTCTTTTCTGATTTAGATGCTTTCTTAATTTTAGATGCTTTAGATTTTAGATGCTTTTTTAATTTTAATTTTTGGGGTGCTGGGGATTCAACCCAGGGCCTTGCACATGCTAAACACACATCCTCCCACTAAACTATACCCACAACCCCAGATTTGGATTTTTTTTTCTTTCTTTCCTTTTTTTTTGTCTTTTTTTTTCCCACCTAATTGTTGTGGCTCTTTATTTCTGAAAGATAAATTTGTGGGGTGCAGAATTCTAGGTTGTTAAATTTTTCCGGCAACAGTAAATATTTCACTCTACTCTTTCCTTCAATAAATGGTTTCTGAAGGTAAATCAGATGTAATTTTTAGCTTTGCCTCTTAATAGCTAAGGTCCTCCCTCCCCAGATTCTATCAGGACATTTTTCCTTATTTCTGATTTTGTGCAGTTTGACCGTGATGTGCCTAAGTACAGTTTTCTTGTTTTTTGTTTTTTGGTACCAGGGATTGAACTCAGCACCTTGTGCTGCCTATGTTCAGTTTTTAAGTTTTTATCCTGTTTTGTGTTCTCTAAGCTTCTTGATCTATAGTTCAGTGTCTAACATTACTTTGGGGAAATCCTTAGTTATTACTGTTTCAAATATTGCTTCTGTTTTTCTTCTTTTGGAATTGCCATATGTGCCATACCTTTTGTAGCTATGCCACAGTTCTTGAATATTCTTTTTTTTTTTTTGAGACAGGGTCTCACTATGTAGTTGAGACTGACCTGGAACTCACTATGTAGCCCAGGTTGGTCTGAAACTCACAGCAGTCCTCCTGGCTCAGACTCCTGAGTACTGGGATTACAGGTGTGCGCCACCATGCCTGGGTGTTCTTGAATATTTTATTGTTTTTTTTAAGGTTTATTTTCCTTTGCTTCCAGGTTTTAAAGTTTCTATTGTTATATTTTTAAGTTTAGAGATTTTTAGCAGTGTCTAATCTACAAATGAGTTAAAGACATTGTTTCTGCTAGTGTTTTTGATCTCTAACATTTCTTTTTAAATGTCTCCTTAGAATTTTCATTATCTTATATTATCTATTTATATTATCTGTTTATTTGACTGTACTTGGGATCAAATCCAGAGCCTTCTGTGTGCTAGAAACTGATCTACCACTGAGTTATATTCCCAGTCCTATATTACCTATTTTAAAAATATTTTTACTTTTTCCATGAGAACCCTTTAGAATATTAATCCTAATTATTTTAATCTCCTGTTTCAATAAAATTCTGCCATATCTAACTCATTTTGATGCTTATTCAGTTTCTAGTGTTTTTTTTTTTTCCTTTTGGTGTGCCTTGCTAGTTTTTTTGAAATCCAGGCATGATGTACCAGGCAAAAGAAAGTCCAGTAAACAGGCCTTTGACATTGTGGTGGTACTACATGGGAGAAAGGAAGTGTTCCGCAGTCCTTTAAGTGGGTCTCAGGCTTTTGGTGAGCCTATGACCCCTGAACTGTGAACCACGCTAGAGCATCTCAGGTTTTTTGGTTTTTTTCTCCCTCGGGGGAAACAGAATAATTAGAAAAGTTGTAGTTCTGTGAGTTTTTTTGTTTGTTTTTCTCTTTGTATTGAGGATTGAACTCGGGACCTTGTGCTTGTGAGACAGGCAGCAGCACTACTGAGCTAAATTCCTGGCTCTGTAGTTTGGTGTTTGCTAGATTCTGGTAAAACCTAGCAGGCTAGACTCCAGTAAAACAGATTTTTTTAGGACAGATCTTGTTGAGAACAGAACACTCTGGAGTATTTCAAAATGGTTTTGCACCCCCTCTACCACTAGCTTTTGTGAGAGGACAGGGATTTTTCTCCAATTTTCTCTGTGAAAATGTGGTAATGCCTCTGGGTAAAACTCACAAAAATGTGTGTGTGTGTGGGGGGTCTCTCCCTATTCCTGGATCCCCTGGAGTTTTTATTTCTCAGAGTTGTCCACACTGAGCCTCCAGCAATTATCAATTATAGTTCAGGTTTCTCTACTCCAGCACTGGTGCCCACTGAGGCTTCTGTTCATGGAATCATAATGTATTAGGTTGTAATTCTCTCCTCTTGTATGTCTCTCCAATTTAGCGGGCAGCACTTTGCCCTGTTACCTCACTTCTCTATGATATGATATTTAAAGTGCATTATTGCTATTTCAATTTTCAGCTTTTTACTTGTCAGAATAGAGTGACAGCTTCTCACATATATATGTGCGTGGGTATATATGTACTAATACTTATATATATGCTTTACTTTTGTGTTGCAAAAATATATTTATATTGGGCACATTTTCTGTTTTGTTTTGTTTTGATTTGATTTGGTTTTGGAGACAGGGTCTCACTATGTAGTTAAGGCTGACCCGGAACTCATTATGTAGCCCAGGCTTGTCTCGAACTCACAGTGGTCCTCCTGCCTCAGCCTCCCAAGTGCTGGGATTACAGGCGTGGCCCACCATGCCCGGCCATATATTGGGCACATTTTAAAATCTGCTTCTCTCAGGAGTTCCAGGACAGTCTCAACTATATAGTGAGACTCTGTCTCAAAAAGCAAAACAAACAAACAAACAAAAAAATCTGCTTTTTTGGGCCAGGGATTTAGCTCAGTGGTTCCACCTGCCTTGCAAGCACAAGGTCCCCAGTTCAATTCTGGTACCAACAAAACAAAACAAACAAAAAAAACAACACCTTAGCTGGGTGTGGTGGTGAATGCCTATAATCTCAGCACTCAGGAGGCTGAGGCAGGAGGATAGTTGTGAGACCAGCCTGGGCTACATAATGAGTTCCAAGTCAGTCTCAACTACATAGTGAGACCCTAAAAACAAACAAAACAAAACAAAAAAATAAAATTGCTTCCATTTCTTCTATCACTTAGCAGTACATCTTTGAAACTTTTTCTGTTAATAAATATTGCCCTGTATCATTACTTTACTGGAGGCATTACATTTATTGTATAGATATGTACTAATTTATTGAACTGTTGTTGGAAATTAGGATTTTTCTTTTCAATACAGGGGATTAAACCCAAGGACTGCTGAACAATATCTCCAGCCCTTTTTATTTAATTTTAAAAATTTTGAAACAAGGTCTCACTAAATTGCTTAGCCTGGCCTTGAATTTGAGAACCTCCTGCCTCAGCCTCCCCAGTAGCTAGGATTAAAAATGTGTACCACCACACCCAGCTGAAATTACAGTATTTTTTTTAACATTTCAAACAATGCTGCACCAAATATTTTTATACATTTGTACATTTATATGATTGTTTCCCTATAATTATTCCATTAAAATAATACTTGTGGATTTTTCCAATTACAAAATTAAATGTAGAAAATTTGGAAAATACAGGCAAGTCCATCCCCAGAAATAACCACCACTATCAGCACTTTTGTTTGTTTTGTTTTGTTTTGTTGTTTTTTGAGACAGGGTCTTACTAGAGACTTGACCTGGAACTCACTTTGTAGCCCAGGCTGGTCCAACTCATACCGATCCTCCTGCCTCAGCCTCCTGAGTACTGGGATTACAGGCATGCGCCACCACAGCTGGCACCACTGTCAACATTTAAGCCATGTTCTAACTTTAATTATAAGAATACTGTCCAGTAAGTAATTAGCCATTGCCAAAACCTGATCTTCCTGATTTTGGTCGTGGGAGAAACTCTGTCCCAGCAATGTGACTTTTCTAACTATGGACTGCATATTGATTTTTTTCTACTTTATTTTTGTGCATTCTAGAGGTACTCATTCTTCCTAGATATTATCTCATTTCTCACAGATGTGTTTAAAGAGCAGTTTGTAATACAGTTAAATTTCTTGTCTCACTTCTAGGTCTAAGAAGATTCCCAAGTGACTGTAAAATTAAATGCAAGCCTGTTGAAAGCAAATTTCAATGTTTCAGTAAAATGTTTCTTTTGTTGTCTTTCATGGATATACACTGCTTTGTCTATTCTTTGCTTTCATATATTGCCTGTAGTTTTTCATTTACATACTGCCTCTATGGTCGTCTTCTGCCCTGGATTACTAAATGAAGTTTCATCAGATCCTGGCTAGGCTAAGCCGTAAAAGGCACATCATTACAGGCCCCTGACATGAGTGCATAGTGGCATGGTCCCCCATTGCAGATCCAAAGATGCCTCACAGGTAAGAAATGGGTATAAAGAAGGAAAATAAAAACCAGAAAAGACCTCTGGAGAATCAGAAAGTAGTTATGATTTGGTAAAGGAAGGGAAATCTCACATGGTACATGGGAAGGTTAGGCTTCTAAAATGGGGATAGACGTAGGAAGAGATTTTGAACTGGGTTCTTTTCTATCTACCATATTGCTGAACAGATCACTGTGTTCTCCATCTGCCCGACTGCAATTCCAAAAAAGCAGAAGTGCTAAGAGGTTCATGGGGGAACACTACTGGCAGGCAGGATTAAAAAGGTGGTTCTATTGAAAGGCATCTAAGGATTCTTCCTGTTTTCCTCCATAGGCGTTCTTTTCACCCAGAGATCTAATCAGTTGTTTTTAGAAAGGAACAAAGCCCCGAAGAAGATACAAAAAGGTTCCTAACAGGGCAAAGTTCCCCGGAGAACAATACAAATGAGGCTATTCAATGCTGGACCCCCAGTGTATCAGGGGTGGCACAAGCTAAGCTATAGCTCCAGTTCCTCCCACCTCTTTTTCCATCCATTGCCCACCAAGATAGCTAAGAGTCATGACTGAAAATGATCTTGCTAGTAAAAATGATACATGCATGTAATCCCAGCCATCTGGGAGGCTGAAACAGGAGTATGGAAAGTTCAAGCCCAGTCTGGCCAATTTAGTGAGATCCTACCTCAACATATTAAATTAAAAGGGAGAAGGGACTGCAGATGTAGCTCAGTGCAGAGGCCCTGGTCTGTCTGACTCTCAGAAACACACACACACACAAAGACTAGAAAGGTAATAAACTGAACAACCTATTCTACATGACAAGAGTGAATAGAACACAAGCCAAATAAATGTCCTCCCCAAAATGAAGGAGGATATTGAGGATATCTATTGTTAATAAATCAAAAATAAATAATAATAAATAAATAAATAAGCTAGGCGTGGTGGCACATGCCTGTAATCCCAGCACTCGGAAGGCTGAGGCAGTAGGATCGCTGTGAGTTCAAGACCAGCCTGGGATACATAGTGAGTTCCAGGTGAGTCTCAACTACATATGAGATCCTGTCTCAAAAAGATAAATAAATAAATAAATAAATAAATAAATAAATAAATAATCATAAGTAGGATTATTGTATATACAAAACTTAACTGAGGCAATGGGTCTTCAGCAGGCTGCAGGGCATGCATGGGCATAGAATCAGCATACTTCCATATGGTAAACTTAGAAAATGTGACTTGGAGGGTGGTATATGAAAAAATGAAGGTGCTTGCAATTTTTTCAGAATCTCATTGGTTTCAAAGCTCATATTCTTATCATCTTGATTAAAGACAATGAAAAAAGTTGTCAGTATGAAGAATCTAACAAAGATGACCCCAAAATACTGGGAGCTAAACCTAGCACTAAGAAAAAAACAAGTGTAGCTGGGTGTGGTGGTATATACCTGTAACCCCAGCACTCGAGAGGCTGAGGCAGGAGGATTGCTGTGCATTCAAGACCAGACTGGGCTACATAGTTCCAGGTCAGTCTCAACTACATAGTGAGACACTGTCTCAAACAAAACAAAACAAAACAAAACAAAAAAACAAATGTAAACCTTCAAATGGAATCATACCCCAAACCCAGGGCACATCAGAAAGAGACAGCCACTGACTAAAAGACCCCCAAATGACAATAGAAGAGATATCCTTCCTGACTGAACTGCAAACCTCAACCCAGAGGTACAACTAAAATGAGAAAATAAGGCAATACAATCTTTTTGGGGGCACTGGGGATTGAACTTGGGACTTTATTCTTGCAAGACAGGCAGCAGCACCACTGAGCTAAATCCCCCGCCCTAGAGTATAATCTTTAATTCTTTCAGAAATATATCCAAGAGTGGTAGCTGGGCCAAATGGTATTTCTACCATTTAGCCTTTTAAGGAAAACCCATACTGATTTCTATAATAGTGGTACTAATTTACATTTCCACCAACAATATATGATGGTTCCTGTACCCCTGCATCCTTGCCAGCATTCCTTGTTTTTTGTTTTCTTGATAGCCGTTTTGACTAGGGTGAGATGTAATCTCAATGCAGTTTTAGGTTTTTAAAAATTTTTTGTGTGTGTGGTTTTTTTGTTGTTGTTGTTGTTGAGGTTGTGGTACCGGGAATCAAACTTGGGACCTTGCACGTTACTACTGAGCTAAATCCCTGGCCCAAGTGTGTTCATTTAAGAAGTATCTATTGTCAGTTCATTTGCCCATTTAAAATTTTTTTTGCCCATTTTTTAAAACATTAGATTTATTGTCTTAATATGCCATACTTTGAGGACACACTCTTAAGTGAAATAAATAAGACACACATGTAAATATTGAAGTTTCTCTAGTGTGAAAAACTAAAAGTGTAAATAAGTTCCAAATTGTATAACTGACAGTGTGAAATAGGAAGAAAAGAACTAAAGGTGTAGGGGAAGTGGGAAGGGTAGGGGAAAGGAAATAAGGGAACAGAAAAAATAGGAGAAAAGGAAAAAATGGAGAAAAAGTCTTTGTAAATAAGGAAGGGTGGAGGGGTGAAGGGAGGGCAGGGGTAAGGGGAAAAAATGAGAACCAAGGTCTGTCATATAAAGGTACAAGATCCCAATGATGAATGTAACTGTACTGTATATTTAAAAAGTATCATGAAAAAAAAAATGCCACACTTTGTATTGCAACATGGCCATTTTTGTGAGGGTAGGGAGTTTGATTTCAAAACAATGTTTCGTGTAAAGCTCTTTTATGCAGAAATTGCCATGATGACTGATGTTCAAATTTTCTTTAGTGTTGCAAGACTCACACGGTAAACATAAAACTTCTACACTTTTTCAGGAATGTGCACTCAACAGAAAACACAAAGGCATTAATACTGTAGCAGCTATTTAAAGATATGCAGGTTACAGAAATGAACATGGAGGTACTAGGATAATTGACATTCTTTTCAGAGGATTAAATTCATTACAAAAAAAAAGTGCTTTTAATGCAGTGTCATATCTATGCTGCCATGTCACAAAAATAGGTTTGCTAAGGCAGGTGAGGTGTGTAGATGCTGCACACCTCATGAACTGCAATCAGTTGGAACTATAAATAATACTTTTAAAAGTTTACCATCTGACCAGTGGCTAATACTTTCAAGGCATTCAATTAGCTTAGCCTCTGCAGTATTCTAAACTATTCACATTGACAATCACATTCACTGTAGTGCTTGCAGAAAAGGAGGCATATAACCAGTTCTTGTTGGCTAAAGTAAGATGGGAAGACATTCCTTGGGTTGTACATAAAAATAACTGTGTTAAACAGACTAATGACAATCGTCGACAAGCTGCTTAAATGAACAGTATCTCCTTCATTCATTGTGTTGGAAGGGTCCAGTGGAGAGGGAAAAAAAACAAAAAACAAAATCTCATACTATTCCAATAGACTGAGCTGGAAAAATGAAAGCCCCTTATGATCCAAATGGCACTTGATGGTTTTCCTTTGGGTGAAACTATTACATTGCCTCCTAGTTTCTCTCCAAGAGTTGAAAAGTCCTTAATATCATCCAAGGCATTTACTTGCCATTCATGTTTAATACCTGTAAATTTCTTTTTTAAAATTGAGTTTACTGGTACATTTTAGGGATACAGTACAGTTACATTCATCATTGGGATCTTGTACCTTTACATGACAGGTCTTGGCTCTCATTTTTTCCCCTTGTCCCTGCCCTCCCTTCATGTAAATTACTTTTTAATGGCATCTTTAGAGCTAGCATAAATTCTTTTGCTTTGTAATGGTGCACTTTCAGGAGCCCAGAATATAAATATTAGGTCTGTCTTATGTGACATCGGTACAAAGCATACGGGCAATCATTCAGAAGTTGCCCAGGTTGGCTTCAAACTCAGTCCTCCTGCCTCAGCATCTCAGAGTGCTGGGATTATAGACACAGACCTCACACCCACTCTGACAATTCTTTGATTTCCACAGGAAGCTTCACACCGTTTATCTACCAGCTTCTTTCCATGTGCCATTGCCTCATATCCTTACTTCCTTCGCTACCCAGTTTAAATTCCATGGTCAGTAATTATAATCAGCCCTTTGCATAGGACTCTCAACTCCTACTCACTTTTTCCTCTTTTGCTTTGAATTACTCCTTGACTGACCACAGCTCAGCTTAAATATAATTTTCGCTGTCTACCCCATCCCTGCACCCTGATAGCTGAATGTATCTTTAGGAAAACTTGGAACTTGCTGACTGCTCTGTTTAAATAATCATTAACCTCTAACAGCCTCAGAATGCTGCTTTGCAAAAATATTATCTATTTCTCTAATTCATTCAGTTCCTGGACAATTCTATATTTTCTCTATCTTCCTCAAATCTTTAAGACCTTCTCTTCTATATTCATTCTTAGCTGATAACATAGCTCTTCATTGCACTGGAAGCAATCTGCCTCACCTAACCTATCTGCATCTGTACCCATACATTCTAGTTTTCCTTTGTTACCGATAGATGTCTGACTCCCATCAAATGTCAGGCTCTTCACCTACACTTTAGATCCCACCTCCTTTCTCCTATTTCAAGGATATTGCTCTAGAAACTCCTCTCTCTCTCTCCCTCCCCCTCTCCCTCTTCTTGTTTGCTTCCTTCTCTCCTTTTTTCCTTCTCCAAAATGATTTTCTGTTTATTTATTTTATTTTATTTTATTTTTTTTTTGGTACCAGGGATTGAACTCAGGACCTTGTGCTTATGAGGCAGGTGGCAGAATCACTGAGCTAAATCCTGGGCCCTTCCTGTTTAATTTTTTAAAAAAAATAAGAAGCAATTATCTCATACCCACTTCCTGCCACCTACTGCCCTATTACTCTACTTCCCTTTACAGCAAAATTATTTAAAAAAAAAAAAAACTATATAAATTCAGGGCCAGAGATGTAGCTCAGTGGAGCAGCATCTGCCTGGCAAGTGCAAGGCCCTGACTTTGATTCCTGGCACCAAAACCCCCCCCACTAAAAAAAAAAAACAACTATATCAATTTATTGTCACCAATTTCCTTCCTCACCTGAACCTCTTTAAATCTGGGTTTTCGTTGCTGCTTTCCCATCAAAACTGCTTTTATCAAGATCATCAAAAAATTCCTTGTTCTTATAACTAATGATCAATTTTCAGCCCTTCTTTTTCTTGAGCTATCAGAAACATTTAAAACTTCTGAGATCACTTCTTGGCCTTTTGGCTAAGA